GGGGGGGGTTGCGCGCGCATCGTATGCATATGCATGTGTGCGCTCTCGAAGGCAGGCAGTTGGCGCCGGCAGGACGGGCAACAGTGATTGTAGTGCGGCGCCCACGGATAGGCACCTCTCGCCGTTGTCGTCGATTTGCTGGGTCTCGACCCCCGTTGCCTGTACTTGCTGTAAGCAGCGGGAATTTCCGGCTGCACAAAAACAGAACAGCGGCCTGCTTGCCTCCTGTTTTTTGCTTGCGGCCGCGCGACGCCTCCGCGGGTACACGTACAAACCCCAGTTTTGCCAACCCGACCTTCACCGACCTTCATGGGATGCTTTCGTTTAGAAGCGGCCCAATCCTGATTTCTGGTCACAACCGAAAGTCGTCATCCTTGGGGCTCCTGTTGCAGTTCCAGCGCGTTTTTCGCCTCAGACTTTTGGTATGGCGCGTCATATCGATGCATGTCGTTGCTGCTGGTGCTGACGCCGCTATTTCCCCGCCCCCCCGGCAGCCCCGAGGAGGCCGTGGTGTGGATAGAGAGCCTCTGCCGCGCCTTCCCAACGAACCCCAAGGAGGCCGAGGTGGCCCTCACCGAGCTGCACAGGTCGGACCACGCCGTGGAGGTGTCCAAGATCATACTGGGTGAGCCAAGGGAGTGTGGTAGACCTGCCGTATATAACGTGGTACATGGAGGGTCTTCACCAAGGGTCCTGTGGCGGTTTCTCTGACTCTGTTTTTACGTTTTGCCGCGGGGCAGCCAACGTCAAGCTGAGCAAAGATTACCACCACGGGAGGTGCAAGGAAGAGTTCGGGCAGGTGTGTAGCATTGCTTGGAAGTTAGCCTCCCGGCGAACGTGTGAAGGTTTTCTGCGTTTCAGGTCGTTTTCGGGAGGGGGGTTGCGTTCGCGCACGTAAATGCATGCCGTAGTAGTTAGGTCATGGACCACGCATCCCTATAATGCCGGGATGACGGCGCGATATGCCGGGTTTTCGCCGGCCCAGGCTAGATAGTAGTGCGTTTCACAAGGATGAAATAGGCTGATCATCATCTTTGCATTTGCTGTGCCAAACCAGATGTGCCATGGGTTGATTGGGTATGAGCAAGCGTTTCGCATTCGGTAGGCACGACTATGCTTCAAGTTCACAGCAGCATGTGTATGCCGGCCCGTACTTCCTGTTGTGGTTGCCCCGCGTCTTGGGCCGGGGGGGGGGCTGCCCGTCAATTGCGGTACGCCGACGCTTTTTTCGGCGTTGCCGTTGTCGTTCTCTGCCCTACAGAGCGATCTCAGATGCCCATGGCGCAGTTCCACGCGCTGCTGGCCCTGCAGGAGGCGGTGCTGGCCCGGTGGGACTCGGTGCCCCCGGCGAACCGACGGGCGCTGAAGGGCTACCTGTGGGAGTTCCTCTGTCGCGAGTGGGCCAGGTAACGTTTCCGGAGGCATTTTGAGGGAGGGAGGGAGGGAG